CAGAATGTATAATAAAACAATGTTGTATTCTGTAGTACTGTGTGCATGATAACTTAAAAATAATCAGGATCTAGTGATCTTTGAAATAGTATGATACTAATGTACTGTTTAAATGTATGCATTTCCTTACAATCCTTTTCATGTTTTTTTCCAGCCAGCTCAAGGATGATTTCACATCAAGACCACAACGTTATTACTGACTGGTGCAGCACCAGCTATACTTGGCCAGCGAGATGTGAAAAGATAACAATCTTGTGCTTGTCTGCCTACTGTTACCTGCTAACCCAAAAGGTGTATCTTGAGGTCTTATTTCCTGGACCATGTGTCATTTTACTTGATAACCTTGCTGTGTACGATGGTGCCACTGGAGAAAGTGATGCGATTATGAGTCCAGCAGAATGGTAATGGACATGAAGAACTTTGTCCCTCATTTTTGAACTGTATCTGAAAGCAAGAGCAACATACAGTTTTCATGTGTCTCTACGTCTTCTAAAGCCCATTGTGGTGAAGATTGTTTGATTGTGAGTGAAAGTGTTTGTTTTCTTGTGTCTGTGTTAGCGGCTGTGCATGTTTGCCTGTTCTTGTCATTTGCTGCTGGTGATCAAGTCATGCCACGTGGAAGAGATGTCAGCAACAGCTGTTGCCTCCCACTGCACCTGAATGAAGACAATGCCCGTTTTGGCTTGTTGGCGGCCCTCATCCTCCTCTACTTGCTGTGTGGGGCGGTGGTGTTCTCCGCACTTGAGCATCCCTCTGAGCTGCAGGCTCACAGGCACTGGGACGAACAGCTGGCTAACTTCACGGAGCAAAACAGCATAAACCTGAAATCCCTAGAGGTCCTCCTAAAGCAATATGAAGAGGCCTTTGCTACTGGGATCCGAGTGGACAAACTTAGGCCCCGCTGGGATTTCTCAGGAGCCTTCTACTTTGTTGCTACAGTGGTCTCCACTATTGGTGAGTTCATATAATGTCATCTATGCATTCAGATTTTCATAACTGCAAAAGAGAATTTACGGGCCTGGAGAGCCACAGTCCTGCAGAGTTTAGCTCCAACCCTAATCGAACACACCTGAACCTACAAATCAAGGCCTAAGGGTTACTAGAAAGCTACAGGCAGGTGAGTTTTTGTCAAGGTTGGAGCAAAATTCTGCAGGACTGTGGCTGCCCCTGATATATATATATACTGTATATATATATATATATATATATATATACAGTATATATATATATCAGGGGCAGCCACAGTCCTGCAGAATTTTGCTCCAACCTTGACAAAAACTCACCTGCCTGTAGCTTTCTAGTAACCCTTAGGCCTTGATTTGTAGGTTCAGGTGTGTTCGATTAGGGTTGGAGCTAAACTCTGCCGATATATATATACTATATATATATATATATATATATATATATATATATATATATATATATATATATATATATAAATACCAATACTGACTTCATTTACCCTCCTTGATGTAATTTTCTTTCTTCCAAAAAAAAACAAACAAAAAAAAGGCATATGCAAATTCCCCTCTCCTGTAACTTTGAAATCTTTCAAACTTGCCCCACCTCAAGATGCTCCTGGCCAGGTTTGACATGATGTCAAATGTTATTGGCTATTGCTGTTCTTGTGACCACTCACAAAATACTCAAATTGAGTGCCCACAAGTATAAATTAGACTTGAAAAACACACATATGGTATATTTTAGCCTCTGGTGACTGTCTACTTTCATGATGTTTTTTAAAATTTTGTGTCCCACAGAAGGCGTAAAACCATAGCAGTTTGAAGTGACATGAGGAGGGCTAAATTATGTTTTTAACACAAAATACTCAAATTGAGTGCCCACAAGTATAAATTAGACTTGAAAAACACACATATGGTATATTTTAGCCGCTTTTGAGCATGACAGCCTCTGGTGACTGTCTACTTTCATGATGTTTTTTAAAATTTTGTGTCCCACAGAAGGCGTAAAACCATAGCAGTTTGAAGTGACATGAGGAGGGCTAAATTATGTTTTTATATAGGAATAAATGTATTAAAATAATTTCCTGTTTCCTTCCAGGCTTTGGCATGACCACTCCCGTCACCATTGCAGGTAAGATCTTTTTGATATTCTACGGACTTATTGGCTGCGCAGCAACAATCCTCTTCTTCAACCTCTTCCTGGAGCGCATCATCACGATGTTGGCCTACATCATGCGCTGGTGTCACGAGCGACAACTGCGCCGCTCTGGCATGGGAGGAGAGGAGGCCAGGAGCGAGGATGACAGTCTGGAAGGTTGGAAACCATCCGTCTACTATGTAATGCTCATTCTGGGCATCGCCGCCCTGCTGATTGCATGCAGTGCTTCTGCGTTGTACTCTGCCATGGAGGAATGGGACTACTTTGAGTCCTTGTACTTCTGCTTTGTGGCCTTCAGCACCATTGGCTTCGGGGATGTGGTGAGTAGCCAACGGGAGTTCTATAAAGCTCAGGAGGCCTACCGTCTCGGCAACTGCCTCTTCATCCTCATGGGTGTTTGTTGCATTTATTCCCTGTTCAATGTCATTTCCATCATTATCAAGCAGACGCTCAACTGGATCCTCGGCAAACTGGAGTGCAGCAGGGCTCAGTGTCCCTGCCGTGGCCGTCCATACAGAAGAAGAGGTCGGGTCTGCTGTTGCTGTTGCTTTCCACGCATTTCCAACCAGCGGCTCAACCACCACCCTCCACTGGGACATTCCCGGCAGAGGGCTCAAAAGCGCAACGCCGTGCACCCTGCACCGGCTAACGAAGCGGCAGGAAAGCGCTTCACTAATGCATCAGTGGAAACAGTTTGTGATAGTGAGACTGATGCTGGCTTAGGACCAGATAGAGGTTATCTGACAGAGCGCAGACTGTCTGGAGAAATGATCTCAGTCAATGACTTTATGACCAACAAGGTTTCTCTGGCCATTCTACAGAAGCAACTCTCAGAGACCGCTCATGGTAATCCAAGGCAGAGCCACGTTCGCCAGAATGGCTTCTCCGGTGGAGTGGGCGCCTTTGCTATCATGAATAACCGCCTTCAGGAGACAAGTGTCGACAGGTAGCTCGGTCATACAAAGATGGCGTTGCATATTGCACATTATGGATAACTTTTAGTAAGGGTTGTGTACCTTTCAGAACTGAAATGAAAATGGCTTTAAAATCCCTGAATTTCAATTGCATTTGAGTTGCTGTAACAAACAGGATCCGGAATTGTAATTAAAATTTGAATGAAAGGAAGTAAAATTAAAATGAATTGAAATTCAAAGAAGTGTATATGACTAACCTTTAACTAGAAAAGCAAAGTTTAAATTTGTTAATGTGATAGTTCACTCCAAAATTAAAATTCTGTCATCATTTACTCACACTCGTGTCGTTCCAAACCCATCAAACTTTCATTCATCTTCGAAACACAGAAGAAGATATTTTTAATGAATAATACTCTTGTGGCAATAACAGTCTAAATTAAAACTGAATAAATTAAACTGAATTAAATCAAATAAATCGATTATATCTCTTCAGAAGACTGGATTATGTTTTATGACTTTTTGAATATTTTTGGTGACACTAACTTTTAATGGAGGGACAGAAATCTTTTAGCTTAAAATAAAAATAAATATATTTGTATTTCAAAGATGAACAAAGCTCTTATGGGTTTGGAACAACATGAAGGTGAGTAAATGAAAGAATTTTCATTCATTTCGGTTTAACTATCCTTTTAGGACAAACTTTGAATGTTGGCTTGACAAAGCCTTAGTTGAAAGTTGTGGGGAAAAGTTTTCTAGGTCTTATGGTCAGACAAATAGACAGATAGCCTATATTTGAAATGTATTCAGTAAATTCCTCCTGTCATTCCAAACCAGATTCCTATTCAACTTTTTGGATAATTCAATTAAAATTCACACTCACTGACTAAAAGACAGCAAACTCTTCAGTTCTGAATTTTTTCCCAACCCTGACTGAGTACTGCTCGCTGGAAAAATAAGTTAGCAGAGGTTTTAGCAATTATAAAAAGATGTTAAGTGTACATTTACTATTGGAATGGCAGTGCAGAGCAAATTAGATCAAATTAAAATAGCCACTTACCTCTGTAGATCAGAAGGACGGTGAAGGTTAGCATTTATGAATGGCTTCGTTCTGAAGAGTAGACGGCTTTCAAATTATTATTATAATTTTTTTTTTACATCATTATAAATAAACCATATGATTTTAATGGTAACATCGCTTCTCAGAGTCACTTTGATGCTGAAGTGATTGGCCGGTGTGGTGAGCAATCACACTGTGCCTCTAGAGAGTTCCTTTAACGGCTCTTCACGAAAACAGACTGATTTTCGAGAGCCAGGCAGATGTAGCCACGGCACTTACAGAGAGACAGTCCCCGGAGGAAGAAATACAAGTGTCAAATCAAAGGAAGATGGTCAGTAATATTCACTGTTTAATCGTTCCTATCATGCTGCCATCAGTGTAGATTGTCTTAAGAAATAAATGATCTAAATGAATACAAATACGTGCAAATAGACTTTTAGCAAAAGGGATCTAATGTGATAGTATCATCAGTATTTTAAAGACAAACTAAGTCATCTGTATACATTCTGTAGATATTGTATAATGTAAACACAAATATTACTTATTTGTTAAATATTTATTTTGGTATCAGCATTTATGTGTTTCAGATGTATTCACGCCCTTTATATCTGTGTAACAGCAGCCTGTTGTCAATCATAGAGCTTTTTAAATCTGTTTCTGAGTGACACTATAGGCATCAGTGTGACATAAATACAAGGTTTGCAAATTGCAGAGGAGCGACTCTTCAGGATGACAGTGGTACTGCTTACTGTTGGTGTTACTCTTGTGTTGAAATCTGAGCTCAGCCACACACATTCACAACGTGTATGAATATAATTACCAACAGGCCATAAAGTCTCTTTATGTAGCAGGACAGACATTAATAAACTAAAATCTCATGAATTACTTGATCTGTTTATTTTTATTACTCAACCTTCAACCTTTATGTTAGCACAAATATTGCACAATATCTGTAAAATGTGCACAAAGAAAGATCATTACATAACATGATATAGCACTGCATCAGTTCATTCGCTAGTCATTAGGAAATATCTCGTAATATTAACATGTTTATATATTGGCATAATTTCAAAGAGGTCAGTAAGGCAACACGATCATGCAAACAGAGAAGAGCATATTACAGGAAACAACTATTCAAGAACAGGACTATATTACTATAGTGACTATATTATGAGCCTGTATAAACCAACATGTAAAAGTGCTTGTATTTAATAGAATTTGTTTTGAGAGATTTTAACATTTCAAGTTTAATGTGAATTCTTAAAGGGATTGTTCACCCAAAAATGCCTCAAGCCATCCTAGGTGTATATGACTTTCTTCTTTCAGACAAATACAATCGGAGTTATATTAAAAAATGTCCAGGCTCTTCCCAGCTTTATAATGGCAGTGAATGGGGATTGAGATTTTAAAGTCCAAAAAAGTGCATCCATCCATCATAAAACGGTTAATAAAGGCCTTCTGAAGTGAACTGATGCGTTTGTGTAAGAAAAACATCCATATTTAAAACTCTATAAACCGTAATCTTCAGGTAACTGTCATACGCGCTTTCATGAGAGAGTGGTGTTCCAGCGTATGACGTAGGCGTAGCATAAGCTCCAGTGAGAATATGCTAGTCTCGCGAGTACCAAGTTTTGCAAAGGAAAGGAAAGCCAGTCTTTTCTCGGCTTATCAAATCCTCTGCCATTTTTCTTTACAAATCCTAGTTTCTGTCAGAACCACAATTGTCAAAGATGATTGACAATTAGCATACAGTTTGGATTGGCGGTATGGTTCCGTTCTGGGCAAGAACTCCCTGCGCATCCATGCAGCCTAGCATGGATGAGAGTAGGGAGAGCAGCGATAACCCCCCCCAGGGTAAACAGAACAGAACCAACATAAATGTATTGCAGATATCGTTAAAGTTCAATAATGTTATGTACACATTTTAGAATTAGTCTGATTCAAAGGAGAATCAGAAGGCTGAATCCTGACTGACAGAGGAGGAGTTGGGGATGGAGGAGGGTAATTAGCTATTGAGCAATGCGAAAACTGCTGATAATACTGAGGGACCTTATATATATGAATGCTTCGATAGGTGTTGTGTTCCCATAGGTTGATGGGGATCAGCTGAAAGTCAGCTGATGCGAGCTTGACAAACGTGAGCTGCCAGAACTAACGCTACGCTAGATTGTACTTCTACGTTGTACTTCTAATTCGTGACTGGTATTTTGTTTTGCTCTCTCCTCTGCGCTTCTGCATTTATCACTTCTCACCGGAGCTTACGCTACGCCTACGTCATATGCTGGAACTCCACTCTCTCGTGAATGCGTGTACAGCAGTTAGTGGAAGCTAGAGACTACAGTTTATAAAGTTTTAAATATGGATATTTTTCCTACACAAATGCATCGCTTCACTTCAGAAGGCCTTTATTAACCCCCCTGGAACCGTGTGGAGCACTTTTTATGATGGATAGATGCACTTTTTTGGGCTTCAAAATCTTGACCCCCATTCACTGCCATTATAAAGCTTGGAAGAGCCAGGACATTTTTAAAGTCATATAGACCAAGGATGGCTTGAGGGTGAGTAAATCATGGGGTTATTTTCGTTTTTGT